TGACTTTGTGAACCACTTTGGGCAACATTTTCACAGTAGTAGTAGTAGAGCATTTCTTATAAGATTCGATCGTTCCAGAGATGCATAAGTTGGTATCTTGTGATTGTTATGAGGCAAAGAAATCTATTTGTGGAGTCCCAAATCTCCTCACTAGATACTTTAACTTTGATATCTTTAGGGACCATTCTGTTTCCGTCGATACTGGCCTGAGACGGGACAACGCAGCTGCTCAATTGTTTTGTACTCCCGGTATGTGAATTGCTTTGAGGTAAAGTGTTTGTGTTACCTTCACAGTAGAATAAACTAGAGAGAGAGAGAGAGAGAACAGGAGAGAGACAGAGGGAGTGTTGACAACGAGCTTTGCTGAGGTGTTAAGTGAGAAACAGATGGCCCCTCGCCTCCGGTTGACTAGTTCGATCAGTCTCTAGCTGTCCAGTGAGCCATCAAGTCAGGGAGTTAATAAGTCCTACATTAGACCCGAAACACGTAAGTTTTATATGGTGTAACACCATACTCTACTCAAATATATTATATGTAGTCGTTAATAGTGATGGAACGTACGATTGAATTAATTATCTCATATGTAACATATGTAATTTGTACTCTGCAGGTTGACCAAATAAAGAACAATAAAATCCTACGTGCAAGGGTTGTAGGGGTTCGTGATATTATGTGTCTAGCACTCAGGATGGATGGATAGAAACTCTAGATGGTGGTTTTCTTATATAAAATATATTGTATACAAGACAGTCTGGTGCTAGTGATGCCATGTGGTGAGGAGCTTGCTTGGAAGATACGTTAAGTGAGTAGCGTGCTTGAAGAGGTATCTGTGCAGGAGCTTCGTTAGAGGAGATGTTGCGTGTTGCTGTCCTCCATGTTGAATGAGGGCTGGACAGCGAGGAGCTTGCTTGGAGGAGGTGTTGCGTGTTCAGGAACGTAGGCCAGAATGAATCTCAGTGGAGAGAATTCGAGCTTATATACACAGCAGCCAGACGTAAACCCGTGGGAACTCGCCGGTTTCTCGACTCCGTTGCTAGGGTACTGTCGCATTGGAATGCGGATGTAGTTTGTAGGGGAGAGGTCCACTGCAGGGTCTCATTATCCCACAGTTGCTCATTGGGCGGTTAAAGTCAAAACGTGGGTCCTATAGTCTGCCGATACAGTCTACTGAGAACTGGCGAGTGACGTCGACGGACCTTCAGCGAGGCCCTTTCCCTCCGGCACCCGACACACCCCGCAGCAGAAGAGCGCCCCGGCCCTTTGTGTGAATTTGTGAATTGAATTGAAACAGTTTATTTAGCCAGAAAAAACCCAGATACAGAGTGGATAATAATAACAATATAATAATAGTTAATCCCAGCGAAAAGGGGTTGTGGGTTGAATACGTGTATAGTACTTGTGCAGCACTCGTATACAGTATGTACGTAGAGAAACGTGACGCCTCTGTAGGTGGGTCCACTGTCAGCCATTTCAGAAAAGACTGGTTTCGGTGCCAAAATTGTTCGTACAGGCGCGCGGGAGTGTTATCGTTCATTCCGGAAAGGCACGCAGCAGGGAGGAGCCGTGTGTCAGGAAAGAGAGTGGACTCTGCGTCAATAATATTCGTACGAACACGCGGGAGAGATAGTGATCAAAGCATACAGACAATTGGGTAACGTTGTGTAAGTAAGTAGTGAGGTCCCTATATAGGTTGAGAATACGAAATAGAATACATTCAATGGAATATATCTATTTCAGTATATTGGGATGAGCCACTAAACATTAAATGCAAGCAAGGGCGCTGCAGTAGTGCTTGTGACCTCAGCTTGTGTAAGGAGTCCCTATATTGATTGTGGGGTCTCTGTGGTCGTGTTAAGTGTGACATCACTCGTGCGTATGGCACGCGCTTGTGTGAAGTCACTCTTGCATATGGCACTGTTTGTGTGACGTCATTCGTGTATATGGCACTGCGTGACGTCACTCGTGCATATGGCACAGTTGTGTGAAACCACTCGTGCGTATAGCACACGTGAGTGTGTCACTCGTGCATATGGCACTGTTTGTGTGAAGTCACTCGTGCGTATGGCACTGTTTGTGTGACGTCATTCGTGTGTATGGCACTACGTGACGTCACTCGTGCGTATGGCACACGTGTGTGTTACTCATGCGTATGGCCCTGTTTGTGTGACGTCACTCGTGCGTATGGCACTGTATGACGTCACTCGTGCGTATGGCCTGCGTCAGTGTGACATCTCCAATTGTGTGATATCAGCGATCGTGGGACGTCACCATGAGTAGTAGCTGATACTAAGCGTACATTTATCGAGCAAGACAGATCATGCTCATGGAAGGGAATGAGTAAAAAATGTGACGGGGCAGTGATGATGCAGAACGTCACCGAAGGTATGAATCGACTACAAAGTAAGGGCAGCACAGAACTAAGTGAAAGCAAAGCCAACCTCTAGAAGGAGGACCTGAAAAGAATAACTCAGGAACCCATAGCCACTGAGACACCAGCCGATGCAGCATCATACTTCACAAACGGCTCGGTGGACCAAAACGTCATAGATCCGGAGCGACCTTCCACACCCAAGGTCAGACCCTTCGATGGAAACATTCTAATGACTGCTCCACCCTACAAACAGAGTTAGTAGCAATCTCAAAGGCCCAAACAAATCACATCCACCACCCGGATAGCTTAGGAAGTAGCCTCCCCAGCAAGTGCGGACCCAGTTCAGGGGGCGCGCCACTCCGAAACTGACCACTTCTAAGAGTGGGGGTTGGTGGTAAACGTTCACTGATCGAGGGTCCGCTTACACTTGCATACCTCCATCCCCAATCCCAAATCCGGCCTGGCTGCTCCAAGAACTCCAGCCGGACTACGGTCCGACAATCTCAACAACAACAACAACAACAGAAGATCGCGGAAAGGTGTTATCACTACTGTGGTGGGATGTAATCCTAGACAAGGTTCTTCAAACTCCAGAGCACGAGCAGTAAATATAAGTACAAGACTTGGCAGGATAACCAACACGTACAAAACAGGAGCAAGCAAAAGGGACTCCTTGTCGTAGCCAGGCCTGAGCCGATCTGAGAGAATTTAGCTAACTCGACAGGGAGAGTTGCTCGACATTACTAGGACAATAAATGAGATCTTCTAGTTACTTGACAAGCGCGGTACAGACATGGTACATCGGGACGTAGTCAGTAGACATAGGCATTACACATAAGCATAGATATCAGACATGCTATAATAATATATAGTAATACAGGCGTGTTCACATATCTTGGTATTTACATATCGATACGACTACCAGAGACACGACCTTCCTGTAACCGAAACTGACAAAGAAACGCTAGATACTCCAAGAGGACTCCCGACGCTCACCTTAACCGTGGAGCAGGGAACATTTCACCAGGGGGAGCGAGGAAGTACTTCCGAGCATCAAGCTCGCTCACCGAAACCACTAACGTTGATGAAGGACCATAAGGGAATAAGGAGCAAAAATACAAAAGGAAGCAAGGGAAGCCTCCTGGGATCGAGTGGATGTTGGAATTCACTATGAATATGGTACAAGGCGGAGGAGGCCCCAAGGGACAAGGACCGGAGGAACCAAGCTGAATATATGCAGACTCATCCTCATGCCAATCCTCGTCAAGGAAGAAACTTGTGGGTCTGGTGACATCAGGAATAAAGACAACCAGAGAAACAGACGATGAACGCTGCACGTTATGCCGCGGAGATCACCTTCTTCAGATGTGCCGGACATTCCTCAGCATGTCCACAGGGAAGCGAACTTCCCTAGTAAGGGAAGAACGTCGCTGCTTCGCCAGCCTGGGTCGTAATCACCGGATAACGGAGTGCAGCAAGAAGATGGTATGTGGTATAGATGGCTGCTCTGGGGTACACTCGAGGCTTCTATACTTCACGGGAGTTCTGACGAGCAGTGGCAAGGTTCAACAGGGCGAAGTCGAAAGAGGAGAACGCCAGACCAATTTCCAAAGGGTGAAATGAGCAATTACTGGAGGCACTTAGACCTAGAATGAGTGAACTTAAGGCCTTTATGCCACCACCGGAATCGGCAACTAGTGGAGCTAATTCATGGAAGACCGAAGCTGGTGCAAGCACCATGGGGAAAAGGGCTGGGAGTACATAAAGCGTGCTGATGACCACGAATAGAAGAAATCCGCATAGATGGGTCAGGGAAACCATAACCAACAAAGGAATTGATGATCGGCGTGAAGAACCCAATGATTACGAGTTGTGATTACAAGAGTCCAACAGAGTCGCACTTCCAATAGTGAAAGTCAGGATGGAGAAGAAGAATCAAATGGCGAAGGAGCAGTGGTCACCGGAGCTCTCTTGGTTAGGTTAATCTAGTTAACCGGCTGCAGGCAGAGAGAAGGCCAGTTTTTCCCTCTCCATTGGCACGATCATGAAAGAAAGAAGTAGTGTAAACACCAAAGAGATCAGTGTAAAGGTGGTTAGCGTAGGAGAAAGAAAGAGCCGATCCATCACTATCCCCGAGGTCATTATTGTTTCACCAGGAAGAACCGGAACTCTCAGACAATAAGAAGCTTGCCGAACAGCGATTGGCGGAACTGAGAAAATGCCTCCTAAAGAACCCAGGGTTCTCTCAGAGGTATCAAGAAGAGATGAGACGAGACGTCTAGTCGACGAGGGACATGCTGAGCGAGTCCCACGTCAAGAACTGAGTGTTACACCCGGGAAGACCTGGTATCTCCCACACCACCCTGTGTTGAATCCCAACAAGCCAGAAAAGGTGAGAATATTTTTTGATTGTACATCCGAATATGAGTTGATGTCAGGTGATGCAAGGGCCAGACCTTAACAACAATTTGATGGGAGTCCTCATCAGATTCAGACAAGGAAAGGTGGCACTCATGGCTGATATCGAGGCAATGTTCCACTAAGTGCGAGTAGTACCCGAACATCGAGACGCCGTACGATTCTTATGGTGGACGGACGACCAGCTGCAAGGGGCCTCGCCACTTACCGAATGACAGTACATCTCTTTGGAGGTATGTGTAGCCCTTCATGTGCCGCGTATGTGCTACAACGAACATACCAAGATTACAGGGAAAGTCTCCATGACGACATCAAGAAAGGGAATCGTAACTTCTATGTCGATGATCTGCTTCTTTCAGGAGCATCACCAGGTAAGGCGGCGATAGTCACTCGCCAAGTGAGGCAGTTGATGAAGAAAGGCGGGTTCAGACATGCAAAATGGATATGCAACCACAAAGGGGTCCTCGGAGCAGTCCCACAAACGGAAAGAGCCATGGAAGTGAAAGAAGTACTTTTGAAGGATGACAGGCTCCCAGCTGAGCAGGCATTGGGAATCATGTGGGATCTAGAGAATGACGAACTTGCAGTCCGAATCCAAATCCCAACGAAGCCACAAACGAAGTGAGATCTCCTGAGTATGGTCAGCTCCATATACGACTCATTCGGAATCATCGCTCTGAGCACCATACGAGCCAAAATCATATTCCAGGACGAGTGCAGGCGAGGCATCAGGTGGGATGAGCAAATGACCGAACACAACAGAGCCGCTTGGCGGCAGTGGCTAAATGATCTTCCCCACTTGTCTCAAGTACGTATCCCTCTCAAAAGATTAATGTCATTTTTAAATACAAAAGTGAAAGAAATTCAATACAGTCATCATATTTTCTGATGATTGTGAATCAAAACAATATGACTTCTGTGATGGCAACTCTCCAAGCTGTATAGTCTTGTGCAGCCTCTTTCATCAGGTTTTATATGAGGAGCTCTGGTCCATAACCTGCTAAGAGCCATATATCGCCGAGATGTGTTATGTATTGCACTGTATTCCCCAACCTCTCCTCTGTCCCCTGGGTAAGTCAGAGAGCCAATTGGGAACATGTAAATGTGGGTGAGGGTCCTCTGAAAAGATTATTATATGTCACACATTCCTACCTTAACATTTTCCTTCATTTGCTATTTTGGCACTTAGCAGATTATGGTCTGGAGCTCCTCATACACGAGGTCATTTCTCACAATCTATCCTTATGTCATTCTTGGCCTCCTCCTCCTCCTCCTCCACATTCAAACTCATGCATTTACTGACCCAATTGGTCTCCGCCATTCTCTTCACCAAACTGAATCATCTCAGCTTATCTTAACAAAACTTTGTCTATATAATAATGTCATTATTCAAACATCCTCTTAAGTCTGAAGAGAGTTTATCTCTGTCATGGTACACATTCATCTCAACATTCTTATGTCAACTCACTCAATCCTACATATATCATCCTCTTCGCCCATGTTTCAGTGCCATAAAACTTTGCATTTCTCACACTGGTTCCATTCAACTTTCCTCTCAAGCAAAGAGAAGATCCTCTGACTGCAAAATAAAGGTAACGGCTCCCTAAACCTCTTCCAGCCAAGTATGGTTCGTGCAGCTGAGTTATCTTTAGTGCCATCTCCACCATTGATCACATTATCCAGGTTGCAGAGCTCATTTATGCAATAAAGGGATATATTCCCAGTGTTGAGCTTTTCCAATCATGCTAAGGCCAGTGAGTGGAGTGAGTGTGAAATTTGAGTACATAAGAGGTGTAGTGGTGTAAATAGCATACTACAGGATGTTGATAATTTTATATGCTCTGTACAGTATATGCAGAGGTCCAGTAAGAGAATGAAGTATCTTCCCAGCTATGGCCAAACTATAATGAAACCTGATTAACCAACACAGTGAATGGTATCACTGGCGACCCCTTTCCAAGTTTCCACAGGCTTGCTAGCTGTTTATTGGCTCAACCGTTCTATAATTTATTTGTCAAACTCCTGGGAAGATACTTCACTCTCTCAATGTACCTGCACGTACACTGCACTAAAAGTGATAGTTATTGTGCTTATTTATGTGTTAACAATTAAATATGTTGGTAATTTTTGTTAATTCAGCAATATGTGTACATGTGCATGCTTGTGTATGTGTGCAATATGTGTGTTAATCATAGAATGTCATTTAAATGATACATAAGATTCCCATGCTTCATTAATATAATTTTAGTGATAATTTCACAAAAATGTATTTTTTTTAATGGTAATTAGTAATTATATAGAGTGTACACTTGTCTGTGTGTTCTCTGAAATTGTGTAAAGCTCTTCGTCATCTTAACTGTGATATTATTTTATAATGCTATAACTGTTTGTTTCAGCATTCCTCATCCTTCCATTAGGCATTGCTTGGTCATTACATAAAACAGGCATAACCTATCCTAGCCCAGTCTTTCCTAACCTAAACTCCCCTAACCTAATTTAACCTAATGTAACTTACCCTAACCTAACCTTACCTAAACAAACCTATCCTAATCTAATGTAATTTTTTTATTATATGAAATTATTTATTTCAACCAGATAAGATTTTTTCCCGTTTCTCTTTGAATTTTTATTCATAATTAGAATAAGTTGGTCAACACAGCCAGGATTGATACTCACCTACTACTTGATAGCTATAACACTTGTACAGGTACTCATATCTTATCTGAAATAGTATACAACTACAGTATTAAACTTATTAGAATACAGAGGTATTTGTACATGTACAGTATATTAGTAATGATAATACTTATTATTAAGTAAGTTAATAAGTATAGATACTATACAGTACAGTATAATAAAGTATTGAAACTGATCACTCTCTTCTCTTGTCTTTACAGTGTGTCCGGATGGCACAAAGTTTGAACGTAAGGCTATACGCTGTGATCGCATCTGTGTCTATTACCGCTCTACTTTCACACAGAAAGGCATATGTCTGGTAATGGAATGAACTGACTTTTAATATAAGGATGTACTCTATATCTGCCATTAAACAGTTAAAGCTATTAGTTACCCATCTTGACTAAATTTGGTTGAGTGATGAAAAGCATGATATTAATTTCTTCCTTTTATTTTATCAGTAAATGAGAATCAATCACACATTAAGACAGGCATATGAATTAGACATGAAATGTAATGCAGTTGACTCTTTTTGTCGTGCCTTTTAGGAGGTTTATTACTAAGACCTGAATGTTTCAGTATGATGGAGAATATGCCCCAGGCTGTGTTGATAAGGACTCTGGCATAGTTTGCCCTGGCAACAGATACTTGAGGGATAAGACAACATGTGTCTCTATTCAAGATTGTAACTGTCGCTTCCCTGATGGCACGCCTGGACCGGTAATGTTTTATTTTCTAGCTTTATTTTTTTTATAATTGTATAACCATATTATTTCAACTGATCTTTCTAATTTTGTGATTAAATTTTAAATGTACATTTTTGACTATCTTGTAGACTTGATTTTTCCTCAGATAACATTGAACTATAATTTCCTGTGCATTTGTAGTCACAGCTGATGCTTTTTTGAAAATTTATCAGTGAAAGGATCAACCTGTAAGAGGTTAGTGGATGATGATTTCAATAGAGATACATTTGTGACAGTGGCATTTCTTACCTAGGAGGGCTTCATTGAATATCATTAACCCGATAACTGTGGTCGAGTGATTCGCCGATCAACCCCCTCAGTGCGCAAAGAAACGCGAATATCGATTTTCCCCAAACGTAATTTTAAGTATCATGGATTAAAAAATAGTATGTAGAAGAATGTAGAAACCAAATATGGGTCCATTACTTACCATTACTCCCCAGCAGCAGCACCACAACCACTTCCCCAACATTACCACAATCACTTCCCCTGCAGCAGCACCACGCACACACACACACACACACTGCAATTAATATATCAATTTATTTAATTATTAATGGTCATTTCAACTGATTGGAGAATTTTTTAATAAAAATAAAAGTATCTTTATGTCAGCTTTATCTTTACAAAAATATTCAGTACTGATTGTGACTGAGCACAGCATGGCAACTATATTATTGTGATCCACGTCATGCCACTCCACAACAATAACAAATGACCCTCATGATTGGCAAAATATTTTCGAAGATTTTAAATAATATTTTCTATGGTATGATTATTGTTCCTTACATGAACGAAAAGTGCACTGCTTTCAGATGCTGTTCTAATATTGTACTTGTGCTTTCTGGGAAAGCATTGCACCTCAGAATTAAACAGCACAACAATAATAGAACAGCATAAGAACATAACATAAGAACATTAGGATGGAGGAAACTGCCCATAGTGGTTGGGAAACAGTTTAGAAGTGTATAAATCATCGTGTGTCCCAGAAAGACTTCTGGTTGAAGCAAGTTTAATAAGAAAAATGAACTCTATAAGCCTTAGTAATGGTCAGTACAAAACTGATATGTTACACAAATTTATTTGTCAGTTGCCCAAGGTTAGAAATGCTTTGAAAGCATTTGAGGTATAAGTAAGATAGATGATTAGTAGTTCTCGCATATTTTTTACCTGACTTAACATGAACTAGTTACGTCGCCCTTTCTTATAAACTCCTCTTGTGTTTTCGGTGGTGGTGGTATGTGGATTAGTGGATGTCATGTTTTTGACCTGGGATAGGACATGTAGCTGAGAGGATAGATGGGGTTTTGTCAGGGGAGGGTACCAAGCCAGTAGTGTGTCTTAGTGTAGGAGGTAACGACAAAGGAAAGGTTAGGAGTGAGAAACTTTTCAAGAGGTTTAGGGAGGTGCTGGGGAAGGTTAGAGATAGGGGAGGGATCCCGAGAGTATGGGGTGTCTTGCCTAGAAGGGGAGTTGGTCTGTCCAGGGCAATTGCTATAAATTGCCAACTGGAAAAACATTGTGCAAGCAATGGTTGGGTGTTCATTGATAACTGGCAACCATTCTATGGCAACGACTACCTGTACAGTCGTGACGGAGTACACTTGTCTCTCGCTAGGGTAAAGACGTTGTCTGCATCCCTGGAGCGTGAAATTGTCACTCCAAAGGGGGGGGGGGGGGCGCCAGTAGAGAGAGGTCAGGGTAAGTGGGAGTAAAAAAACAAGCATGTCCTGGGGAGTAAAATTGGTTACTCGGGACAAGGGGTAAAACAGGACCAGGGAAGGGTAGGTTTAAATGTATACTATACAAACAGTAGGAGCGTTAGAATTAAAATAGAATTGCTGAGAGCGGTTGTATGTACCGAGAATGTAGACGTCATAGCAATTACCGAAAGTTGGATGAATCTAGAGAGCAAGAACTTATTATCAGAGTACCACAGAGAAGGGTACAACCTTTTTCATAAAGACATGGAAGGTGGGAAGGGTCGCACTCATCGTCAGGGATACATTAAAATGTTTTATTAATAATTCAATAAAGGGTGAAATAGGAACCGAGTCTGTATGGGTATAAATTGCGGAAGGAAGAGAAAAACTAATTATGGGAGTGATTTACAGGCCCCCAAGTTTTGGGAAAGAAGCAGCTCAGCCCATATGGCAGGAAATGAGTAGGGCAGCAAAATACAACAACCTGTGCGTTATGGGGGATTTCAACTTCAGAAATATTGACTGGGACAACATTGTTGGTGACTATGAATCTGAAGACTTCCTAGACGCAGAACATGACAATTTTTTTAAACAACTAATTACAGAACCTACTAGAGGTGACAATATATTAGACCTAGTATTAACAAATAAAGAAAATATTATCAGAGATATCACAGTAGGGGAAGAACGAGGGAACAGTGATCACAGAGAAATCAGGTTCACCCTAAATTGGGAAACTAAAAAAATGACAATATGGTCAGTCCCAGACTTTCGATCGGCAGATTATGAGGGGGTTAAGAAGGTGCCTAGGTGAGGTCGCCTGGGAACAGTCAGGTCAATCCCTGGTAGGAACGGGTGAGGTCAATGGCGACACAACATTTGATCATGACTATAATATATTTACTAGTATACTACGTAAAGCACAAGAACAAAACATACCCTACGGAAAAATTTGGTCAAATAAGAATGAGCCAAGGTGGATGACCAAAAAACTTAAAGATGACATAGGAATAAAGAAAGGAATTTATAAGAAATTAAAGGGAGGGGAGGAGCAGCTCAGAAATAGGTATAATGAACTATCTAGGAATGTGAAGAAAAATGTAAAGGAAGGCAAAGAGGGACTACGAAATTAGGATAGAAAGAGAATCCAAGGCAAATCCCAAGGGATTTTTCTAGGTATATAGGACAAAGGTCAAGGACAAAGTGGGATCTTTAAAGTCAGAGAGGGGAAGTGATCGATGATAGTGAGAAAATTAGCAAAGCATTAAACAGCTACTTCTTATCAGTTTTCACAGAAGAAATTCATAAGGAAATCCCAGAGGTGGAACTGATATTTAGGGGAAATGATGAAGAGAAATTAAAGAATATCACTATCAGAAAAGAGGATGTTCTTAAGAAGATATATAAATTAAAGTCAAAATCCCCAGGGCCGGATGAAATTTTCCCTCTAGTTTTGAAAGAGTGTATTTACAAAATCATTAGACACGGGAGTTGTGCCAGACTTGTGGAAACAGGCAAATGTAGTACCCATATTCAAAAAGGGAGACAGAGCATCAGCGTCAAATTACCGGCCAATTATTTTGACGTCAGTAGTGGGGAAATTTCTTGAATCAATTATAGCAAATAGCATCCGATCGCGTTTAGAGAAAAACTAATTAATCTACGACTCTTAACATGGGTTTACAAAGGAAAAACTTGTCAACCAAATCTGCTGACTTTTTTTAGGAAAGTCTTCAAGGTAGTAGATAATGACGAAAATTACGATATTATTTACTTAAGAACATAAGAAGATAAGAAAATTAGGAGTCTGCAATAGGCCGGTTGGCCTGTGCATGGCAGCTCCTGTCGAGAGTTACTACCACTCTCTATCATCCATGAATCTATCTAGCCTCCTTTTGAAACTTTCCAGAGTTCCCGCACTTACTACAAAGTTGCTAAGCTTGTTCCACTCGTCCACCACCCTATTTGTGAACCAGTTTCTTCCTATCTCCCTCCTAAACCTAAACTTATCCAACTTGAATCCGTTGCTCCGAGTCCTATCCTGCTCGGATATTATAAGAACTTTATCTATATCCCCTTTATTGATTCCTTTCACCCACTTAAATACTTCTATCATATCTCCCCGCACTCTTCGTCTTTCTAGGGAATGCAAGTTAAGTTTCTTTAACCTATCCTGATATGGAAGGTTTCTAAGTCCCGGAATCATTTTTGTCATTCTTCGCTGCACCGACTCTAGTGAATTTATATCCATTCTATAATAGGGGCACCAGAACTGAACCGCATAATCGAGGTGCGGCCTAACTAGCGCAAGATATAGTTGCAATAAGACCTCTGCACTCTTGTTACTTACACTTCTAGATATAAAACCCAATACTCTGTTTGCCTTATTTCGAACATTAACGCACTGTTTTCTAGGCCGTAGGTCCGGGCTTACAAGTACCCCTAGGTCTCTTTCACAAGTCGACTTCTCTAGGTTGATGTTGTTAAGGCTGTATACATTATAAGTATTTGTTCTTCCAATATTAAGTACGCTGCACTTGCTGGTGTTGAATTTCATTTGCCATTTTTCAGACCACCCCTGCAGTTTATTTAGATCTTCCTGTAATGCATTTGCATCCTGCCCTGAATTAATTTGCCGCCCTATTTTGGTGTCATCCGCAAACTTGCTTATGTCACTGCTGATCCCAGTATCTAAATCGTTTATGTAGATTATGAACAAGAGTGGGCCTAGTACTGACCCCTGGGGAACCCCACTGGTTACACGGCCCCACTCAGATTTAACACCATCTACGCTGACCCTCTGCGTTCTATCGGTGAGCCATGATTTTATCCAATTTAAAACTTTCCCCTCGATACCATGAGCCTTAATTTTTCTCAGAAGCCTCTGATGCGGTTCTCTGTCAAATGCTTTGCTAAAGTCTAAGTAAATAACATCGTAATTTTCGTCATTATCTACTACCTCGAAGACTTTCCTAAAAAACGTTAGCATATTTGTTAGACAAGATTTTCCCTTTGTAAACCCATGTTGAGAGTCGTAGATTAATTTGCTTTTCTCTAGATGCGATCGAATGCTATCTGCTATAATTGATTCAAGAAATTTCCCCACTACTGACGTCAAACTGGTCGGCCGGTAATTTGACGCTGATGCTCTGTCTCCCTTTTTGAATATGGGTACTACATTTGCCTGTTTCCACAACTCTGGCACAACTCCAGTGTCTAATGATTTTGTAAATAAGTTTACGAGGGGTCCGCTAATCTGTTCCCTACACTCTTTTAAGACTCGAGGAAAAATTTCATCCGGCCCTGGGGATTTTGTATTCTTTAGTTTATTTATCTTCTTAAGAACATCCTCTTTTCTGAGAAAAGTTAAGGCTCATGGTATCGAGGAGAAGGTTTTAAATTGGATAAAATCATGGCTCACCGATAGAACACAGAGAGTATGCGTAGATGGTGTTAAATCTGAGTGGGGCTGTGTAACCAGTGGGGTTTCCCAGGGGTTAGTACTGGGCCCAGTCTTGTTCATAATCTACATAAACGTTCTAAATACTGGGGTCAGCAGTGACACAAGGAAGTTTGCGGATGACACCAAAATAGGGCGGCAGATTAACTCAGGGCAGGATGCAAATGCACTACAGAAGGATTTAAATAAACTGCAGGAGTGGTCACAAAAATGTCAAATGAAATTCAACGCCAGCAAGTGCAGCGTACTTAATATTGGATGAACAAATACTGTCAATGTATACAGCCTAAGCAACATCATCCTAGAGAAGTCGACTTAGGTGTACTTGTAAGCCCGGACCTACGGCCTAGAAAACAGTGCGTTAATAATGTTCGAAATAAGGAAAACAGAGTATTAGGTTTTTATATCGAGAAGTGTGTGTAATAAGAGTGCAGAGGTCATATTGCAACTATATCTTGCACTAGTCAGGTCGCACTTCGATTATGCTGTTCAGTTCTGGTGCCCTTATTTATAGAATGGATATCAATTCACTGGAGTCGGTGCAGATAAGAATGACGAAAATGATTCCTGGACTTAGAAACCTTCCATATCAAGATATATTAAAGAAACTAAACTTGCATTCCCTAGAAAGACGAAGAGTGCGGAGAGATATGATAGAAGTATTTAAGTGGGTAAAAGGAATCAATAAAGGCGATATAGATAAAGTTCTTATAATATCCGAGCAGGATAGGACCCATAGCAACGGATTTAAGTTGATAAGCTTATGTTTAGGAGGGAGATAGGAAGGAACTGGTTCACAAATAGGGTGGTGGACGAGTGGAACAAGTTAAGCAACTTTGTAGTTAATGCCGGAATGCTGGAAAGTCTTAAAAGGAGGCTTGATAGATTCATGGATGATAGAGAGTGGTAGTAACTCTCGACAGGAGCTGCCATGCACAAGGCCAACCGGCCTATTGCAGACTCCTTATTTTGTTATGTTTATTAACTGTAAGTTTGATCATGGTTTTCCCTCATTACTCCAAAATTTTAACATGCAAGTATATCCTTTTAGCTGGTTCTTATATCTCTAATGCTAACTATTTTACATGTTCAGCCTGGCCAAGTTTTCAAAGTATCAGAGTGTGAAGTGTGCCAGTGTGATAATAACAACTTGGTGTGTGACTCCTCTGCTTGTGCCACCACAACTACAACTATCACAGTAAGTAACCGTCTCCCTCAACAAAGGAATGCCTGGAAAAAATAATTTAATAGTCCAACCAAAAAATATATGAACTAGGTGAATGTAATTATTTGTAAAACTTTGCACAGTATGTGAGCACTGTTCATTCAGCACAAGATGGAGCTGCTTTACAGTGTATAGAGTAGGGTGAGCAGGCATATATACTGTACTTTATTTCTCTTCTTTTCATTCTTCATAAATGAGGAGCTCCGGTCCATAACCTACTAATAGCTATATATCACTGAGATGTGTTATGTATTCCCCAACCTCTCCTCTGTCCCCTGGGTAGGTCAGAGAGCCAATTGGGAACATGTACAGTCTCGTTCAAGATTCTTCGAACACTGCTGGAGACAGCTGGCAACTCAAGACCGTTTGTTTACTATAGTATGGAGTATAATATAATATGAAACAACAAAGCCTAACCATTAATTAAGCAACGGGGAACTAAGTAACCACTCACCGATCACTTTACATTTATTCCTAATTTTTACGACGTACTATAGTAAGCAAACGGCCTTGAGTTGCCAGCTGTCTCCAGCAGTGTTCGAAGAATCTAGAACGAGACTGTAAATGTGGGTGAGGGTCCTCTAAATAGACTATTGTATGTCACACCTTCCTATCTGAGCATTTTCCTCCATTTTTTACTTTGGCACTTGGCAGATTATGGTATGGAGCTCCTCAAATCTGCTTAGGCATTGTGCTTTTCCGGTTTAATGGAAAGCACCTATTACATTTCCCAAATTTCTCTAATATTATTTGTCACCCCTCCTCTCTCCCCTCACTCCTCCTCTCTCTCCTCCCCATCCTCTCTCTCCTCCCCCTCCTTTCTCTCTCCTCTCTCTCTCCTCCCTCTCCTCCCCTCTCTCCTCCCTCCTCCCTCCTCCTCCTCCTCCTCACTTTTCCCTTCCCTCCTCTCTTTCCCCTCGTATCTTACCCCTCGTATCTTCCCCTCGTATCTTTCCCCTCGTATCTTTCCCCTCGTATTTTCCCCCGTATTTTCCTCTCTTTTCCCCTATCTCTCTCCGCCTCCTATCTTTCCCCTCCTCTCTCTCCCCCTCATCTATTTGTCTCCCATCCCATCTCTCTCTCTCTCTCTCTCTCTCTCTCTCTCGTGGAACTACCATGTAGAGGGGGGACTGGTCCTCCCTTTCTCCATGGAGGAAAGGGCTTCTCATACTGGAAGGGTCATTGGGGAGGGAGGAGACTAATTGGTTTTGTTGAAGGCTGGCTAGTGGGACTTTCCTCCAGCTCAACCTCCCCGGACTGGAGAGTAGCTTTCCCAGGTGTTTGCTGTAGGCTGGAAGACAGGAATTCTGGAGGTTGTGATTCTGCACACTGCACCCTGCGGCTCGCAACGCGCCTCTTTGTTTCCTTATTCTGGTTAGATGGGAGGCTTGACTTGCAGTCTGGTCAAGTCAATCGGCTGGCCAATGTGTCTGACGTCCGAGCCAATCATTTGGCAAGAGTCAAGGAGGCACCACAAAGTCGACACCCTATTTTGTCCCGCAGGCACCAGACTTCGTGGTAGCCCCACTACCCCTTGGGCCATTGTGTGGCCTCCCCCCCCCCCCTTTCATTGGGCTCCTTGGTGCTTCGGTGGGTGGGGTGGGAAAGTGAAGGCTTGGTGATTGTTTTATGGTATCCATTCCCACAAACTCCGGGTGGCTCGTTAATGGACTAATCTCCTGGAACTCCTTCTTTAGTGGCCATTCTGGAGCCTTTTGTGGCTAGTAATGACCGACATTCTTGCCAGCATTGGGGACATCTTGACAGACTGCTGTCATGAGACGGACTCCCCCTGGTGTCTTTGAACCAGACTCATATGAGATATATTTAGTCTTATCTTCAAGGGAGATTGATCGAGAAAACCAGAATATTTTTTAAACATACCGAGATATTGTAAAAATATGTGGGTGTGCACCAAAAGTTGTACCCCAAGCAGATGTGAGTAATAAACTTAAGACTCTTAAATGTATTGCTGGAGCTCCAGTGTATTGTTTCCCCTCACAGCAGTATGAACCAGACCCAAGGTGTGGTGTATTGTACTCGGCTTCTCCAATACTTGGAGGAAATCTTACAGCAGGAGCTTGTGGAGAGAATCGAGAAAAAGGTCAATGGAATTTTAACACCTACACTGTCTCTGACCATCACATTGAACCAATTAAATCTCCCTGAGACCCTAATGGCAGCTTGGTATACACTGAAGATTAGGCTGTACATGCCTATGCCAAGAAGATTTTTTATTGCCAAAAGTTTGAACATATATCCACAAACAAGATCTACTATCTGTGTGTGCCTCATGTGGGCTTGATGCTCATAAGGATGAAGAGTGTACAGACCTTCCATCTTGTATTAAATGTGGAGAGGGACATGTATCAACATATAAATCTTGCAAAACCTTCCTCTTTCAAAAGGAAGTGCTGACCCTAGGGGCTAAGGAGCGAATTTCCTTTACAGCGGCAAAAGAGAGAGTCTCGGCCACTTTTTACACTGGCTCTACATTTGCCAATATAGTGTCTCGGGCAACCTCCAATAACCAGAGGCAGAATACAAGTAATCATTCATCCACAAAATACCTCCACATCAAAAACATCAAACCTAAAAATATCTTGTACTCTAATTCTACTACGCTTAAGTGCTTCATGTCAGTAGTTAGTGTACTGTCCTCACCTTGGTAATTGTATCTCAGAAGTTCACTTCTTCACCACTTAGCTCTCAAAAGGAAGAATGCCTGGGTAACAAAAGAAATCATAGTGAAGAATCTTTGGAGGGGGACACCCCTCCAAGGGTTCAGCCCACATATCATCAAGGGATCCTCGAGGGATAATAGGGCGTTGGCTCATGTCAACACCCCCTCCTCAGAGTCACCAGCTGATTCAAAGTTGGATAGCTCTACTAAGGGTCCTGCCAAAATACCAGCAACAGCAGGAGCCAGTCAACTGTGGGACCTTGATTCTAAGGGTCTACAGAATTTTGAGAAGTCTGGGCGGGTATCTCTGAATACCAACAAACCTGTGGCATCATCATCGCCCACTGGATTGCTGAATACTTCAGGTAAACATAGTCATTCCTCTACCTCCAAGTCAGTTCCCCCAATCAAAGTCAAAGACTTCCTCTGGAAAGCCCCTAGCGTCTGGTCTTGCCGGAAGTTAACAGAAATAATTTTCACTGATCCAATGGAACATACAATGGCTAAAAGCTAATTGGGAGCCTCGTATCATTTTGCTCTCTCGTATCTCACTAGTATATGTGTTTGCAGGAAGTGATGGATAATAAAGGCCAGCACCCTCCTCCTCATGGTTATCAAGCCATATACGAGTATTCTGACCGAATAGAAAATGGTGGTCATCATGGAGGAAGTGCCATCTTTGTCTCCACCTCCATAAATGTTTCAGTTACCACAACTGTATACAGCTTTGTTCCCCCCTGCAGGCAGTGGCTGTTCGCCTCCATCTAAGAAGGGTGTACTCTGTTCACTCTGCCTCCCTCCTGGCACATCAGTGACCAAGACAGATTTAACTGACCTAATTGGTGAGCTTCCTCTTCCATTCTTAATTCTGGGGGATCTGAATGGAAGGAGTAGATTTTGGGAAGACAGCGTGACCAATCCTGTGGTACAGGATCTGGATTTCCATATCATGAACACCGGTGCCCCAATCCATTTCCACATGCAGACAAGAACCTACTGCCATAGACCTCTCTTGTGCTGTCCAGCAGCAGGCATGGATTTTTTTGTAGGAGATCTGGGATGATCTACGTGGGAGTGATCACTTCCCAGTCAGCCTTCGCACACCTGACGTGAGTGGCTCTAACTGTCTTCCTCGCTGGTGTCTGGGGCTGATTGTATCCGCTTCAAACTCTTACCCGCTGTCCAGTAAGGGTGGGAGTGGACTTTACACCCTCCACCATGACTGTATCAAGAATTTTCGTCCAGGCCATTACCATGCTATTGTGGGGTCAAAGCTGGGTTATGCATGCGAGCTGTGCTCTTTAGCCAAACCAGCCAGGCTAAAGACCATCGATGCAATTAATTACACTGGCATCCATTTGGCCACGAGGGCCTTTAGATCCTCCCCATTACCCAGTCTTCTGGCGGATGCTGACGTACCACCACTGGATATGCATTGGCATTCCCTTCTTGCCTGCTGCTGGTACCGAGTACAATGTTTCCCTAGATCACCAATATAGGAGGTCATATCTGATAGGTCCGTAGACCCTAGATTTACCCATTGCTCACGCCTTCTCCGATCGTTTGCCTATTGTGTCCGGAGCTGGTTGACAGCTTGTCACTTCCCAACTCCTGGTCACAGCAGTGAAGGTGCCGACTGTGACCCCATGGGACCTACTGGAGGTGTACTTCTGTCAATACTTCCTGGAGAGCAAGGCTGATGTCAATGAGGTGATGGTCAGGATGTATTCATGGTGGCTCGGTGCATAAGATTTGGAGCCATGTCTTCTCATTTTAGCCACAATGAAAGACTTCCCGCCTTTGCATCCATTTTTACTATGGAGCTCTCTGCTATATGCCTAGCCCTTGAAGAAATTAGCACCCATAATGTTGTTAGTTTTATTGTTTTTAGTGACTCCAGAGCAGCACTGACTCCTCTGAAATTTTCAGTCGCATCAACCCTCGAGTATATATAGATATTTTTAACTGGCTAGTAGTTCTATGTCGGTAGGACCATAATGTGTATTTATGTTGGGTTCCTGCCCATATCTCTGTATGAGGTAATGAGAGGGCTGATGAGGTGTCCATGTTTTCTTCCTCGTGTCATGCTCCTTTGTATTTCTTCCCTGCGGTTAGGTCGACCATCTGGGCCTCTTGGAAGCTTCATTGGAACAGTTTATCCGTTCTCAACAAGTTTCAGGAGATTACAAGGAAGATTTCTCTGTGAGAATATCCTTGGATGCCCCATCGCTATAAGACTGCCCTTACCCGTCTCCGTGTTGGCCACTCACCTCGCCAAGTGTTTCCTTGTGGCTAGAGGACCACATCCCTACTGTGATAACTGCCAGGTTCCACTTAATGTGTGACACTTACTGGTAGTGTCCCACTCATGTTGACTTAAGAAACCATTTTTTGGTCTAGTGCCAGCAGGGGGACGGCTCCTTCTCTATCTCAAAGGTGCTCAGGGGGGAGAAGTTCAGCACCTGATGGTGAACTTTTTAAAATTTTAACTTCCATTGGGGTACTTGACTGCTTGTGATTTTGATATATAAACTTACTAAGCTTTTATTTTATTCATACGTATCATAGTTTTAACTTATGATTTTAATTTTGGAGGGTCAAATAGCCACTGTCTGCGACGCCAGATATTTTATCCAATCAATCAATCCTCTCTCTCTCCTTTCCCCATCTTTTCTCTTTTCCTTCCCCCAACACACACCAAAATACAGTAACTTCTAAAACTTTTTAAATTCGCATTTAATTGAAAACCAATATTTTTTTCACTGAACTACTAGCATATTGCATCCAATTTTGATGGAGATATTAAAGGGAAAGGAAAAACTGTTTTGTGAAAACCTGATGGATAATTAGTTTAGATTTTGGAAGTTAATTTTGAAACGAGAGTCTTAGTGTCATAAACAGACAAATTTAAGAATGTATTCCATAAACCATTTGTCTAATTATGTTCCTCGTGTTAATGTGAGTTTCGTGTTGCGCGAACTTTGTTTAAGTGGGGACAACGTACAGTCTGACCTCGCCTAGCAATTTCGTGTCTCAGAAGTCTGTTTTGCTCAAATTTTGCATTTTCTTGAGCACTCTCCAATAACCGTGTTTATCGCTTGTTCATGTGAGAAAAAATATAAATAAAATCATTGCAATACTCTAATGTGGCTTAGAAATAAAGAAATTACAAAACTATAAAATAAGAAAAATGAAGAGCATGGGTGTGTATGTCTGAAGTGCACATATTTGTTGAAGCAGTGGGGCTGTAACTGCGTCGGGACCCTAGCTGACTCCCTCCCCCAATGTGATGTCATAGCCTACACACACAGCGCAGCGTGGCAGCAGCCACACATCTCTAAGTCAGCTGGGTGGCTGCCTGCCTGAACTGTGTCACATCACCAAGATGATGGTTTGAGTGTGGAAGAAGCTATTTTTGTACATAAAATATGTGCTCTTAAGTTTTATGATATGATGTGTATCAATTTTATAGTTTAGCATATATTTTTTTTTCTTTCATTTTTGACATAAGTCTTTTGAAATTTGTTGAAATTATGCTAACCTTGTGCTCACTAAATCGTTTTACTCTGAACCACATCGTTTATATATCGGAATAAGTGTTAAACAACTGCCCAATAAATATGGCAATAGTGTGTAAGTTTGAAACAAAGGTTTATCTTGTAATTAGATTTAGATTTTCAGTAAATGATTAACAAGTTTTCCTGTTTTTAATGCTTATTCCACAAATTCGGGCTCGGTGGAATACCAATTAACACGAATATGCAAGGTCAGACTGTACCTGTATACAGACTCTGGATGTCGGGCTGTAGAGGGTAGACTTTACCACAATTTTATTATGTTTAAAAATTTTGTTTAGATTTTATTTACTGTTGTGCACCAGCCTAAGATGTTCATCGTGTCAAAATATTCTGTTTTTATGTCACAATTATGTCTCTTGATTCTATCTTTTCTTGTTTCAGGTGATGTTCCTTAAGAAACTCATTTGTGTCTTATTGATTTGTTTATTTTTTTATTCACAGAAACCAATGTATATTTTGTTCTTTTTATTGCTGCATGATGTAGATTACATTTATATGCATAGTTTTTTTTTCCATTAGCCATCATTTGAGTGTAATAAGTGGAGTTCGTGGCTGAGTGAGTCAGCCCCCATGAATGGTAATGAGTGGGAACTTCTGGATCATTATCGCAACAAGTATCCTGAAATGTGCTCCCAGCCAGAGAATATTGAGTGTCGGGTCAAAGGAAGTGAGTACTTTACTGAACTACACGAATTATCTGTCTTACCTATACCATTTCCACATCCAGAGCAACATGACATATGGAGAACTATTCACTGACACTCAATTGTTGATCAAATTCACTCCTTTGAATTTAAATTCCAGAATTAATTCTAAAATATTTACAATGTTTACTATGGAGTGTGTATTCACTATTTTTTATTATAGTTTAAGGGGTATCCAGAAATCTGTGTATAGATGAAGTACAGTAAGAGATACAGTGTTGAATTATCAAATTGGAAATTCTCTAATAAATATATTTCAACACGTGCAGACTGCAGAGCTCACATACGCAAGCTCTGTGATGGCTATCTGCACAAAAGCATTTACGATGGATAAATTCAGATAACAAAACTCTTTTTTATACATAAATTTGAGTACATTATTTTCTCTGGTGGGTTTGTATCAAACATAAATAGTAAAAGTTGTAATTTATATGGTATACTGTATCTTGTAGTTTGACACAAGTGTGTTAGTTCTTTGTCAAACCAGTTTTCCTCAAATGCAGGGAGGTTGTTTGCTTCCTCTCTTTTGAACACTGGGAAAAAGAATTTATTTAACACCTCTGCTTTGTCATGATCTGAGTCTGTGCACTTACCATTCTAATCTATATTCCTAAATCATATTCATCCCTTTCATCATCAATCCATGCATAATATGCTTCATTAAGCAGTACATGACAAATACAGCTCACAACTTACTGCCTCCTGCACCTCTATCCTCCTCACCCTCAGGCCCCCATCACCCCTTACCACTATGCACACTGTTACCAGAAAAAAAAAATCTCTGCTGGTTTACATTCAACTGTTTGGATTCAGTTGACAGAGAGCGAGTGACTGTGGGCCTGGATATGCCCCCTATTGTATACTGTACTCATTGTTTCCAAGATTTTTTCTGTAATTACTCTTTGACAAATATCTCATATTTTCATAAAAAAATAACAAATAATATTATTGCATTCAAGAATCCAAGTGATAAGGTATTTTGATAATCACTCCATATCACTAAATGTAAGTGTATCAGCTTGTATTTTCTTTTATGATATTTCTCCTTCAGGCCATGAGTCACCAGAGGCAGCAGAGCAGGTGTTCATGTGTAACACCCAGAAAGGTTTAGAATGTCTCCACTCAAAAAATCCCTCAGGATGCTTGGTAAGGATTTTACGGAAAGGAAACGAGTAAAGACCCTTGTAATTTGTGTTTAGATACAATACAGAGTTCATCACATTTGAACAAGGAGAGTTTAGATATTATGATATACATGTAGACATAAAAGAGAAGATATCTGAATATTTAAAAAAGAATTATTGAAAAGAGATTCCTTTTTGTTGGAACACTGTTGTAAGTATTGGATAGTGAACATCTGTATACCTTAGACCTAATGATACAAATAGGGATTACCATATTTTACAGCATATAAGATGCACCGCCACATAAGAGAAAAAATCGTCCATTTTAGCAGGGAATGTGCAGCAAAAACCTTTGTGTGTATTTTCCTCCTGAAGCCATAGTTTTCTTAAATTAATTAATACAGTACCAGTAAATGTGAGGAATAAATAAAAATATTTCCAATAAATAAGTTACAGCAAAAAATACTGTATTGCCAAATCAGTAAATAAAAACCAAATAAAAGTTTAATATATATATATATATATATATATATATATATATATATATATATATATATATATATATATATATATATATATATATATATATATATATATATATATATATAATGGTACAGTACTCTTTAATTAGGAATAATGTTTTTTTTCCAAAATGTTTATACTTCTACACTAGAATATTATTACATAGTAATATAAATGTTGAACTAGCCAAAGTTAGGTGGGCTATCACTACAAACAATTCTAAACTGAATCTAATTATGTTTTTGGCAGGACTATGAAGTGCGGTTCTTCTGTGGATGTGAAGGAACTCCAACACGTAAGTTCATAATGTTGTTATGGTTGTTTAATGTAATTCATTAAGGATACAGTAAGAGTTGCTTCAAACGTTTAGGATGAGATCAAAACGTTCTTTTTTTTTACCTACAAACTTTCTTCTTCATTAAACAATTCTCTCTGATGAATGAAACATATGGCAATACATTTTAAGTGAGGCTAGTAACGTGACCCAATCATCTCCTACCCAACCTTCATCGCAAGTGATAAGACATGATTAAGTGAAGTGTGTAACAGAGACGTGGCGATCGTCCAAGCGACTAACAAGCCGATCAGTGGTGAAAATACCCACTGTAAAAGTTCTGTTCTGCTCACGCCTGTATTATATAGAACTTTTGTTTCATTAAATATATTTATTTAACCAAACTTTTAGATAAAGTATCCAGGATTATTTTGATAAAAAAAATGGTGTCTAACAAAATTAGAACTGATTTTACTGACTCCGGTACAACATTTCTTGCGTTTTTTTATAATCGAATGGAATTCTCATCACTATCATATATAAATATTTTTTTTAAGGATAGCTTATTGGAAACGTTTAGTATAGAATTTACTAAACATCATTATGGTATCAAATTCATCTCCCTATCACAATTAGACACACTTGAGTGAGGAAGGGGGGAGGGAGGAAGTGACCGAACGACCCTCCACCCCTCACCCCTAAAAAGGTTCATCTCCAACACTCTTCAGCCAAACATTACACAAAAGAACATAAGACCATAAGAAAATAAGGAGTCTGCAAAAGGCCGATTGGCCTGTGCATGGCAGCTCCTGTCGAGAATTACTACCACTCTCTATCATCCATGAATCTATCTAGCTTCCTTTTAAAACTTTCCAGCATTCTAGCATTTACTACAAAGTTGCTAAGCTTGTTCCACTCGTCTACCACCCTATTTGTGAAACAGTTCCATGCTATCTACCTTCTGAATCCAAACTTATCCAACTTAAATCCGTTGCTCCGAGTCCTATCCTGCTCGGATATTTTAAGAACTTTCTCAATATATCTCCTTTATCGATTCCTTTCACCCACTTAAATACTTCAATCATATGTCCCCGCACTCTTCGTCTTTCTAGGGAATGCAAGTTTAGTGTCTTTAATCTATCTTGATAAGGGAGGTTTCTAAGACCCGGAATTATTTTCGTCATTCTTTGCTACACCGACTCCAGTAAATTGATATCCATTCTATAATAAGGGCAGCAGAACTGAACAGAATAATCGAAGTGCGACCTGACTAGTGCAAGATATATTTGCAATATGACTTCCGCACCCTTATTACACACGCGTCTATATATAATACCTAATACTCTGTTTGCCTTAATTCGAACATTAACGCAAACTTGCTTATGTCACTGGTGATCCCAGTATCTAGATCGCTTATGTAGATTATGAACAAGAGTGGGGCCAGTACTGACCCCTGGGGAATCCCACTGGTTCCACAGCCCTACTCAGATTTAACACCATCTACGCTTACTCTCTGTGTTCTATCGGTGAGCCATGATTTTATCCAATTTAAAACTTTCTCCTCGATACCATGAGCCTTAACTTTTCTCAGAAGCCTCTGATGCGGTACTCTGTCAAATGCTTTGCTAAAGTCTAAGTAAATAACATCGTAATTTTCGTCATCATCTACTACTTCGAAGACTTTCCTAAAAAGTCACTAGATTTGTTAGACAAGATTTTCCCTTTGTAAACCCATATTGAGAGTCGTAGATTAATTTTGTTTTCTCTAAATGCGATCGGAACTATTTGCTATAATTAATTCAAGAAATTTCCCCACTACTGACGGCAACTAATCGGCCGGTAATTTGACGCTGATGCTCTGTCTCCTTTTTTGATTATGGGTACTACAATTGCCTGTTTCCACAAGTCTGGCACAACTCCAGTGTCTAATGATTTTGTAAATAAATTTACGAGGGGACCGCTAATCTATTCCTTACACTCTTTCAAAACTCGAGAGAAATTTCATCCGGCCCTGGGGATTTTGTCTTCTTAATTAATTTACCTGCTTAAGAACATCCTCTTTTCTGATAGTGATATTCTTTAATCTCTCTTCTTCATTTCCCCTAAACATCAGTTCCACGTCTGGCATTTTCTCTTGACTTTCTTCTGTGAAAACTGATAAGAAGTAGTTGTTTAATGCTCTGCTTATTTTCTCACTATCATTGATCACTTCCCCTCTCTCTGACTTTAAAGGCCCCACTTTGTCCTTATTGAGAAATTCTACTGCGAGAAGATTTAGGAGTAAGGATAAGTAGGATTCTTAAGCCAAGTAAACAACGTATATTTACTCGAAACAAGGCTAATAAAGTCCCTGGGTTCATACAAAGGAGTGTTAGTTACAAGACAAGTGAGGTCATCCTAAAACTATATCTTGCGCTTGTGAGACCTCACTTGGATTACGCAGTTTAATTCTGGTCACCGTATTACAAAATGGATGTAGAATCCTTGGAAAGAATTCAGAGGAGAATGACAAGAGTAATCCCAGGCATTTGGAACCTTGAGTACAGAGACAGTTTAAAGCATCTTAATTTGCACTCCCTCGAAATATGTAGAGTGAGGGCCGATATAATAGAGGTGTATAAATGGAAGTCAGGGCTGAACATTACATTGCAAAGGAACTCAAACTATCCAACCAGGAGCGAACTCATAACAATGGTTTTAAATTAGACAAAATTAGATTTAGGCGCGAAATAGGTAAACATTGGTTTGGAAATAGAGTAGTGGACGAGTGGAACAAGTTACCAAATATCATCATTAACTCGAATATGCTGGATAGCTTCAAACATAGGTTGGATGGATATATGAGCAATAGGGGTTGGGTGATGGGACTGCCCTATCCCTATCCCAGCCCCAGGAAAACACACCCTAACCCTACGGTTCCTATCTCTTGCACAAAAAACCCTATCTAAGAAACTCACCTGGCTGTCCAGAACTACCACGACCTTATCACTGGGTAGGGTTTGAATAACTGCCCTTTTCTCTCCTGGCACCACACCATCCTGCGTCTTCTCTTCCTCGCTAGTTTCCTCCAACATTTGGTAGGGGTTACTTCACTCCACACCCTGGTCAGCTTTACTGAGTCTGACTCTAATCCCCTTGGAGACAACCACTCTCCACCCCTGCTCCTCCTGACCCTCCTCTGCAGATGTCCTGCTAGGCTTCGTTCTCCCCCTTTAAAATGTCTATCTCTCTCCTCAACTGCTCCAGCTGACTTAAAAGAGTGGCCACGGGGTCGTCTTTCCTCACACACCGTCCCTCTTCCCCCACAACACAACGATCCACAGCGGCCATTTCCTATGGTCACTAACACGAGCACTTAGCGGCACGTCCTTCTCCAAGCTAGGTCAAGTTGGTACTGAACTAGGTCAGGTCGGTACTGAGCTAGGTCAGTTCGGGACTGAGCTAGGTCAGGTCGGTACACACCATCACCCCCACACACACACACATAAACAAACACACCAAAAATCAGCCACACACACCCCAACATCACACCCTCACCACACCCTCCCCACACCCACTCCAACACCATTGACATAAGGAGTGAGGGTCTTATTGTGTGACAAATTTGCGTGTGTGTCTAACTTCGAGTTAAATATCAGCAGTTGAGGTGTGCTTAGCAACACTCAGTTCTACTCTATCTCTCTAATTACCTACACCTTTCTACTTTCTCATGTCGTTTTTTACTTATACTTATCACAATCTTTCTAAAAAATATTGTAGGTTTTGTGTTTATTCAAGACATCTTCAGTCATGAGACCCACTAATCCCCCACCCAAGAAAGGGTGACCTGACATTCCATCAGAAGGTCAGTAATATGAGACCACTAATCCCACACCCTGCCTCCACCTGACATTGCGTCAGGTCAAGTACACGAGACCCCCTAATTCCCCACAGCTCCATGGGAGTTCAAAATACCAGTCATTGCTGTAACACAGTTTCATTCACGGCCATATAATATAGCTTTTTAATTTTCAAATATATTTGTTTTATCAAACTTTTAGATAAACTATTCTGGATTATTATAGCGAAGAAATGGAGTTTCTAACTTAATTAGAACTGCATTTACGGATTCCTGTAGTTTAGACTCAATGAAAACATCCTAGCACCCAAAAACATTCTAGGGAAGTAAGCTAGTGTCCGTGTGTGCAAGATATCTAGCTTAGACACTCGGAAACTTTTCCCAGTAACCGGAAAATATTCTGGGGATAAGGAATTTTTCCGGGTTCGAGAAAGTCGTCTGGTTAGCCGGAATTCTCTGATCCCCGGACATGCTCTGCACCAATTGTTCTGGCTACCGGAGATATCACTGTAATTTAGGATCATTTGGTGCCAGGTTGACAAAATATTTTCCTAAAATTCCTGAAAAAAGAATCCCACACTGAACATGAGTCATTCCATACTCATTTGCTTACAAAGAGCAAACAGCTGATCGGCTTACCACATTGTCTGTCTTCAACACTTAGTAAATTGGTACAGTACAGTTGTGTATTTATCACCACTTAATAAATACTATTGTAGTGTATTTATCATCACTTAATAAGTAATATTGTAATGTAAAATATTATGTATCTGTCTATACCCTGGTTTATTTATTAATCATTTGAGTAAGTCTACAAGTAGCCAAACCGAGTCATCATTTAACACTCAAAAGTAGTGAATAACATTCTTAAGAAGGTTTCTTCATATCAAATGCTATACAGTGTGTTATAGTGACCCCTGTTGTAAGCTGGTCTGCTGAAAGCTCTCACTTGAACACATCTTGCGTAAATAACCTTGTGATACAGCTTATCTTTTTATTTTCAAGTCATATTACAAATTACATGCAGTATTGTATTTTTTCTCTATTACTGAAGATGTTATATTAATCATGATGAACCATAAACCATAAGAGGCCAATCATATGAGAATATAATACTGAATCAATAAATAAATAAACAAGACGAATGCAGCAACACCTGATCAGCCCCAGTGTCTTAGTTCTT